CACACACACACACACACACACACACACACACACACACACACACATCCCCCAAATAGAAAACAGAATGCTTATTCCTACCAGGGCATGGTTGCTTCTAGAAAATGTGTGTGTGTGTATATATATATATGCATTTGCCCATACCCTGTGTGTTTTCATATTTGTCTCTGTGTGGACATGCATATACATGTTTCTGTATCTGCATGTATTTGAATATGTGCAAGTCTGCATATTTTAACATCTACATGTATGGAATTTTTTAATCTTATGTCGATGGGTTTTAATCTTATATCTCTGTACCACATGCATGCAGCACCCATGGTGACCCAAAAGAGGACATCAGATTCCCTGAAACTGGAGTTAGACAGTTGTGAGGGGCCATATGGGTGCTGGGAATTGAACCTGGGTCCTCTGGAAAAGCAGTCAGTGCTCTTAACCACTGACCCATCTCTCCAGCACACAATTCTCTTCTTTTTGAAACAGGGACTTGCTTGTATCCCTGGCTGTCCTGGAACTTGCTCTGTAGACCCGGCTGGACTCAAAATCAAAGAAATCTACCTGTCTCTGCCTTTCAAGTGCTGGGATTAAATGCATGTGCCGCCACCAACCAGCAAATTTGCAATTTTTAAATGTCTTTACTTAGGGTGTGTGTGCCTGCATGTGTGTGCGCGTGTGTGTGCTCAAGCCATGGTGCCCATTTGGAGATCAGAGGACAGCCTGTGGGAGTCGGTTATCTCCTTTCACTACATGGGTCCCAAGGATGGACCTCAGCTTGTCAGGTTTAATAATAGCTGCCTATATCCACTGAGCCCTTTCTCTGGACTCTATTTTTTAATCAGTGTGTGTGTGGGGGGGGTGCATTTGTGTACGATGTGCGGGCGGGTACACACACGCCATGGCACGTATGTGGCAATGAGAGGATAATTTCGTGGAGTCCAGTCTCTCAACTTGACATGGTTTCTGGTTGTCAGGTTTGCCTGGTAAACCATTACCCATTAAGCCATCTCACCAGCCAGGGGACTAGTTCAAACACTCTGCTTTTCAGCTGTTTTTAACACTGTGGATACTGTTCAGGCCATCATCCTTATCGGTGACCCCAAAAACCCTCTCTCTTGCCACATGGCTTTCCTTGTGCTCAGTGCAGACTTGGACATCATCCAGCCTGTGGGAGACCCTTGCTCTAATCAGGCAGAAGGGCAGACGGAGTAACCAGGCAGGGGCCTGATTCTAAGCCAGTAGGCCTTCTGGAAGGTTCGGAGGAGACAGAATCCCCAGGAAATAGGGGGTGCCAGTGGACAAGGGGAGCACTGGGCTTCTCTGGGTGAGTGAGAAGCCAGAGCAGATGGGCTGTTGGCCGGCTCTGCAGAAAACCCACAAGTGACCTATAATGTGTCCGCAAAGGGCAAACCTGTTCCCCACAACAGCTGGGATAAGAGTCCTAACTGGAGGCTTTGTGGACAGAACAGCTGGCTTCAGCCAAGGCTGGCGGCAGCTGGGAGTCTACATGGAGGCTCTGCACAATCAGCTGCTGGCTGAAGAGGCTGCCCCACCAGGGCCCTGTGTGCATCCTTCCCCCGCTGCTTTGGGCTATAAATGAGGGGAGTCGTGACCTCCCTAGACCTGTCTATTCATTACCACCTATTCCATTTGAACGTTTCAGCTTTTTTTCTTCAACAAATACACTTCCCAAAGACGGACAGAAGTGTATCTGGGTTTCATGGGTTTGTATGTTCTCAAAATGCAACATTAGCTGAAAAACGAAAATTGTCTTTACAGGACCCAGACTTATGGAGGAAGCTCAGTTAACTTCCATGAATAATGCCCACAGCAAAAGCAGTGTTTTTTACTTTAGATACGTCAGGCCTATCCACCAAGCCACAGGGTATGTGGGTAGCTTTGTGAGGGGCACGAGAGCGTCTTCGCTTTGCAGGTGAGCGGCAGGAGTGACCTACAGGGTGAAAGGAGTCACTTGAGGTGCTAGTGCAGTCAGGTTGTAGGAAGGCCCTAGGCATGTGCAGCCTGGGGGTGGAGGCGGCCGAGCGCAAGGTGGTATGTCTCTCACGTGCTACAGAAGTCACATGACAAGAGGTGCCACAGTTGACTGCTGAGCCAGAGGCTGAAAAACTATGCTTTCTAAAACCCAGCACTCATGCAAAGAACTGCTTTTCCACAAAGAGGACAAGTATGCCCAGAGTAAATAGTACAAGTGCCGCCCCATTAGGGCGAGGCAACAGCTTTGGACTGTGCATGAACCATAAACCGGCTTCCAGCCACACAAATCCAGGATATCAATGCAGACCTGGACAGTACATTTGGCCCACATTTGTCAAGCTACCATGTGTCTGCGGCATGGGAGGCCTGGCCTGGGACGTGGGCTGCCCTGCTTTCCTAGCAGCTCACATACAGGTTCCTCTGGAAGGCCTCCCTGCTTCCCCTAGTCTGATTTTATCCAGAATGGGAAAGGGTAAAAAAAGACCAGGAATTTTGGCTTACAAACAACTCAGAGCAGGAAGACCTTGGGGTTAAACACGATTCCACTTTAGATAGAGCTGCAAACCCTTTTGTATGGCCCCACATCCGCCTGCCAGCCCCTGCTCTGCTGACCCTGGTCTGCAACCATCTCTTCTCCCTCCCTCTAGCTTTAGACACAGGCTGGTTGGCACATGGGCAGCTCTGAATGCACTGTGGGGAGCTGGAAGGGCCAGGGCAGCAGACGGTTCCAGAGTGTAGCCAAGAAGCACCTTTAAACCCAGAGTAGGGTACCTACCTACAAAACAAGCAGTTTTCATACCTCCAAATGCTGCTGCTGTGGGTAGCAGAGACTCAGAGCTGGCCACAGACTAGGGAGAGCAGACTCCATGACCTGAATGCTACAGGGTTTTCCATGCAGCAGAGGGTGCAGTCTGGACACTTGGCACATCCCCCTTGGGTCTGCAGATGGGCTAACGGCAGGCGTGGCTGAGCTAATTTCTTGAGTTTGACCATGGTGCTCCAGTTAGCTAAGAGTGTCCTTGTTCGGTAAACAGACCCAGATATGTTGCAGGTGGATGGGCATATTAGTTTACTCCCAAACGGCTCAGAAGGAAATCTAGCCACAGAGCAAGACGGAGACAAAAAGAGAGATGGAGACAGAGAAATGGAAAGGGACAGACACAGAAAGATGGAAATCAGAGACATGAGTGAGAAAGCAGTGGGGTGATTAGAGGGAAATGTGGTGACATGTTAATAGTTGAGTGAATTTGTGTGAAAAATACTCCTTACAACTAGTGCATGCGTGCGTGTTATATAGTGTGCTACATATGCATGCATGTGTGGGTGTAGGTGTGGGGGTGCTCATCCGTGCCTGCAGGTGTGGAGGCCACAGACTGGTACTGGAATGTTTTCCTCAAGCACTTTTCCATCTTATTTCAGAGCCTCTCCTTGCACAAGAGCTCACCATTTCAGTTCAACTGGCTGGCTGGAGAGCCCCAGGCTCCACCTGTCTCTGACCTCAGTATTTAGGTTATGGGCACATGCCACCACACCCGGAGTTTTTACATGGCAGTCAGGAATCTCAACTCCGGTCCTCACGCTCATGCGGCAGCCATTTTACACACTGAGCCCCATCCTCAAGCCCTTGCAAGTCCTTTTTGTGTAAATTCCAAGTTTAAGAGAGCAAATGGGGTGAGGGGAGGACAAACCCATGCTCTCTCTCTCTCTCTCTGAACACTTCCTGTCTCCTGGCCCAGCCCCCTCCAAAGCTCGGCCCTTTCAGACCCAGCCGTACAAGGTCATTATCCCCTAGCCCTGCTACCTGAGCCTGGTACGGGTCACTCCCATCCGCTTCCCAGAGTCCAGCCTCCACTCCTTAAAGTGTGTATCCAAAACACCAGCCTCGCCGGGGCGGTGGTGGCGCACGCCTTTAATCCCAGCACTCGGGAGGCAGAGGCAGGCGGATCTCTGTGAGTTCGAGACTAGCCTGGTCTACAAAGCGAGTTCCTGGAAAGGCACAAAGCTACACAGAGAAACCCTGTCTCAAAAAACCAAAAAAAAAAAAAACAAAAACAAAAACACACCTGCCTCAATCTCCTCAGTCTCCTCCCTGGATGCCACGGGCTGCTCTGGCGACTTCTATCCAGTTCCTCTCCCAGTCCCAGCCAACTCAGCACGTGGCCTCAGGCGGCCACTTCCACGTCTTCCCCTTCCACCCCAGCCTCCAGTGGATTCTCTTCTCTCTGTACTCGCAGAAGGCAAAGGATACGTATTTTCTACGCCGTCCCTTTCCCAAGTGACTTCCCATCTCCTGTGACTGCCCCAGGCCTCACCTGAGTGGCTCTGGAGGCGTCTGTGCTCTGCCCTTCCACCTTGGCGCCACTGACATCTCTAGAGAGAGAGCCTGTGCCCTTTGCCCATCCCCTTCCTTCCCTGCCCTGTCACAGGGTGGCCTCTCAACCCACACTCCCCGCTCACCTTGACTGCTTGGTGCTTTGACATCTGCGTCTCATCCCCTCCCCCAGTGACAACGTGAAACGGGGCTGAAGAAACAGCAGTTAGCATCGGAAGATCTGGGCAGTGCGACTTTGTGGTGCAACCTGAAGATGTGGGAGTTCGTGCTCAACTAAGGATTTACTGTCACGTGACCTCCAGTCATCATCAGCTTTGCTCTCTCCCCATTCTGGCCACCCGTCCTTGCTTTATGAGACCCCAAGGAGAATGATGTCCAGTCTGTCTGTCTGCTGGCAGCCGTCTCTGAGCTGCGTCTCTATCACCCATCCCAATACTAGACTCCCCACTGGCACATTTGCCAGGGGCATCCAGCCAGCTTCTCAAACAGTCAACAGATCTGTCTCATGTACCCTTAATTTGTGGAAGGCAGGGCTCTAAGTCCACAAGAAGGAAGAAACAGAGGAAAAAAGTGATATTTCAAGAAATGCATTAAAAAGCAGCACCTTTCATTGATTCCATGTACACAAGTATGGGGAAATGTACTTGGTTGTTTTCCACTCTTTCTTTTTTGGCTCTTTGAGGGGCCTGCCACCCAGCTCCCAAATAAATCACACATGAAGACTTATTATTACTTATGAATGCCCGGCCTTAGCTTGGTTTGTTTCTAGCCAGCTTTTCTTAAATTATCCCATCTACCTTTTGCCTCTAGGCTTTTACCTTTCTCTATTTCTGCATACCTTTCACTCTTACTCTGTTGCTGCCTGTGTGGCTGAGTGACTGGCCCCTAGCATCCTCCCCTCCTTGTTCTTTTGCTCTTCTTTTCCTCCCAGATTTCTCCTTCTATTTATTCTCTCTGCCTGCCAGCCCCGCCTATACTTTCTCTTGCCTTGCTATTGGCTGTTCAGCTCTTTATTAGACCATCAGGTGTTTTAGACAGGCACAGTAACACAGCTTCACAGAGTTAACAGAATGCAACATAAAAGAATGCAACAGATCTTTGCATCATGAAACAAATGTTCCACAGCATAAACACATGTAACACACCTTAAAATAATATTCCACAACAGGGAAACATCGAATATCTACAGCATCTGAGGTCTTGTGAAGTCTAAGCTTGGTTCTGGGTTATCATCTTCATACAAAGACCTCACGCCCCCCCCCCCTCAGGCTAATCTGCTAGGATTATTCTCATTCTCTGGTCACCAGAGCCCTCATCTCAAATTATCAACTAGTTTTTTTCTCTTGACACCATATAGTTTTTCAATCCTGACCAAAGAACCACAGTCTCCCGCCTCACCAACCAGCACTGCCCAGGCACTGAAAGTCTATGTGGACCTACTTTAGTTACTGCTTCGTTTGTTTGTTTGTTTTTTGTTTTCCGAGACAGGGTTTCTCTGTGTAGCTTTGCGCCTTTCCTGGAACTCACTTGGTAGCCCAGGCTGGCCTCGAACTCACCGAGATCCGCCTGGCTCTGCCTCCCGAGTGCTGGGATTAAAGGCGTGCGACACCACCAGCCTGCAGGTTACTGCTTTTAATCAAGGGCTTGTGCTGGGTCCCACTGTAGCCCACCCATGCTCTCCTTGGCCCTGGGTCACTTCCTTGAGACACAAGGCTAGAAAACTACTCCTGTTTATACAGTTATGGTGGCCCGGGTCCGCCGTCAAAGGTTTCCCTAGCCACCGGAGAGCAGCTGCCTCCAGTTCCATTGTTCACCACCCACTCCTCACCCACTCCCCACAGAGCCTGGGCCCCAGCCAAACTGCATTGCTCACCAGCTGGGAACATATGTTCCTCCTGCCCAAAATAATCTACCCCTGTCTCCACCTGTTAACATCTATCCTTGAAGGATTACCCAATAAGTAGCGTTGGGACAATTGGTTAGTCATTTGAAGGAAATTCCTCAGATTCTTAACTTCATGCTAGACATCATGATATATGGTAGATAAACTGGAGTTAAATATAAACATGGTCATATATTTTTAAAAAATCAAACCATAAAAACTCTCAAAAATATACCCTTATTTTAAAAAATTGAAAGAGCAGAAGATCCTAGGCTTAAAAACAAAAGAAATTTCAAAGGAAACAAAAAACAAATCTGACCTCAGACAGCACACAGACTGGAGAGAGTTAAACGCTTAAAACACAGGCATGACGAGCCAAGCTTGAACCCCTGGCACCTGCGTAAAAAGGTAGCCGTGTGCCTCTGTGATCTCAGCTCTGGGCCAGCCTAGCTCAACTCAGTGAGCTCCAGGTTTGGTGAGAGGCCGTTTCAAAAAATAATAAAGTGGAGGGTAACAGAGAGAGACACACTCATGTTCACCTCTGGCCTCTACACGCATGTATATGTATACCCACGTGCACACACAAGCAAAATTAAAAACACTTAACACTCGATTAAAATACAACTTGATTAACTAGGATTAAACTGATGCCAGAACTCAGGTTCAAGTCAGTCTGAGGTAGTGAGACCCTGTCATAAAACCGCCCAATTACAAATAAACAAAAAGGAAGAGTTATTTGTGTGAACTCCATGCAGGGAGTTTATAAAGTAAGATAGTGTTCTGGTTTGTATAGAAACTCAGGCTTGCCGGGCGGTGATGGCGCACGCCTTTAATACCAGTGCTCAGGAGGCAGAGGCAGGCGGATCTCTGAGTTCGGGGCCAGTTTGGTCTACAGAGTGAGTTCCAGGACAGGCTCCAAAGCTACACAGAGAAACCCTGTCTGAACAAAAAAAAACAAACAAACAAAGAGTCTGGCTGAAATCTCTGGCCAGCTGAGAAACAATAATTCAGCACCATTAACTACTTAAGGTGTGTTATGACCCACAGTTTAAGAAATTGCGTTCTTAAAAAAAAAAAAAAAAAAAAAAAAAAAAAAACAAATGAGAGACTTTTGTATTGAAGGCTTCGTCCCTGGTTGGTGGACCCAGTAATCGAAAGTGACTGGATCCTTACTACTCCGGCCTAATCAATGTATTAGTCCCTGAGGATTAATAGTCGAGTGGCATTACTGAAAAGTAGGATCACGTTGTTGAAAACAGGTTACTCGGGTATGTCCTGGAAAGACCCCTCGTCCTTGACCCTTTCCTGTCTCTCTGCTTCCCAGGCACCACGAGGTGAGCAGTTCTCGAGAGTGATTCCCATGCTTCTCAGTATAACGTCCTGCCTTACCACTGCCCAAAAGCAACAGAGCCATCTGATCATGGACTAAAGCCTCTGAATGTCAACAGCGCATAAAGAAAGCACCCCAAGACCAGCGGACAGAAAAGCAGCGATCAACGGCCACCCAGAGAGCCGCGGGGCGCTTCCCTGGCGCGGCCAGTGACGTCACCCCTGCGCCCCGCCGCCTGGCCGGGTCTTCCGGCCGGGAGGCGGCGGCGA